TAGCGCCAGCTTTTTGAAACATCGTGCTGCACGACCGATGTGCGTGTGAACGCACACATACATACATACACACATATATATATATGTGTATATGTATATATATATATATAAGATTCGGGATCGCCGATCTTGCAATCCGTGCGACACATGGAGCTTTCTGCGCGCGCGACGACGTGCGCATGTCGAGTGTATACATTATTATGGATGTTTGGATCAACAAGTGTAGGCGCATCGTTCTCTTGGACAAGGATAAAAGGGGGGTCGATAACGACCTTCCGTGGGATGTTGCGAAGCCATAGTTCTAATGATCGATTGGACATACTCATATGTACATCTTAGTGCCCCATGGAGGGTCCATAAAGCCAGGGGTGGGTGGATAGGATGGGTGGGTGGTCGATCTTGGTGTACTCTTAGAAAGAGAGTAAATCCTGTGCAAACCATGCGATGCAATCTATCTAGTGCAAGCCATGTGGTCCAACATATGCTGTGCATTCTCTCGTGTGTAATATATCTGATGAAATCTGTTTGTGGTGCAATACAGGTTGTGGAATCCATGTTGTGCAACCGATGTTGTGCAATCCATATGGTAATATACATAATGCAGTATACGTGGTGCAGTTTATGTCGCACAATTAATGTAAAGTAATACACGTCATGCGACATATGCGGTGCATTATGTTGTTCAGCACATGTTCTGCAATACGCAGCATTGCGACGCAAATCAACGCAACTCAAAACAATGCAACGCAGTGCGATGCAAAGCAAACCGAATCAACGCAATGCAATGCAAATCAACGAAACCAGGCAAAACAACGCGATGCAACACAATGCAAAACATATTAATGCAATGGAAGCAAGACAAAGCAATCCACAGCAATGCCAAGCAATGCAAAGCAATGCAAAGCAATGCAAAGCAAGGCAAAGTTTCCCAAAGCAGAGAGAAGCAGCGCGAAACACTATGTGGTGCTATCTAAGTGCGGCGATGAGCGGCGACGGCGGCGATGGGGCTGCGATGGTGACAACACAGGCCCAGGCTAAGGGTGGCGACGAGGCGGCGACGGGGCGGCGACGGCGGCTACGTAGCCGCCAGACTTGGCACGTAGGCTCAGACGACGGGCGGCGACGAGGCGGCGACGGGGCGGCGACGGCTGTTACATAGACACCAGGCCGGCACGCATGCCCAGTTCTTCAAGAAAAGTAAAAACCCCTACGTGCAAGCACTGTTTGGGGAATGTAAGCATGCGCATACATATAAGTGGTCCGGCTCCCGTCCAGTCCTCTCCCCGTCTTCCCCTCGCCACCCCTGAACACCATCCTTCTTTACCTCCTTTATTCCCTCTCTCCGTCTCCTCCCTCACCCGCATGGTTCCTAGATGGCCGTGGTCGTGCTCTTGCTGGAGGTTGGCGCAAATTTGATCCTGCATGCGCCTAGTTTTCCCCCCCCCGGCGGCCAGATCGCAAAAGCCAGGACGCCTGGAAAAGGTCAGCGGTTACGCGGTGCACCAGCGTGGCCAAGTGGAAAAAACATGCCTCCACCTCACTGCTGCTGCGGCTGCCTCAAACATCGACACATCGTCCCCTGGACCTCACCACGGGTTAGCTTTGGCCATATTTTCGAGGCGGGTCCAGTCGCGGCGACGGAAAAAGCTTCCTGGAGGCCCACAAGACCCCCAGCGCCGAAAAACCTCGATCCTCGAACTTCGATCCTTGACGCTCGATCCTCCTCTTCCTCCTCCTCCTCCTCCTCCTCTTCCTCCTCCTCCTCTCCCCTCCATTCCGTTTTCATTTGGCATTCAATTCCGCGCAAGCCGGGCTGCGTCTTCCCCGCATAATCCCCTTGTGCCTCCTCCTCCTCCTCCTCCTCCTCCGCCTCCTCCGCCTCCTCCTCCTCCTCCTCCTCCTCCTCCTCCTCCTCCTCCTCCTCTCCCCTTTGTTTCTGGGGGCGGTGGGGACAGGCGTCCTCCTCTTTGCCCTCGGCGGCGCACCTGGCACGCGCCAGACACCCCGGCGGTCTGGCGCCCGCCTCCCCCGCCTCGCCATCCTCGCCTTCGGGGTGCGGCACCCCGGGCGGCGCCCGCCCGCGCGATCCGCGCGCGGGGTGTGGCGAAGTGGACGGATGCCATCTCCTTGCTCTCCTCCTCCTTTCCCTCCTCCCTCTTCTTCCCCTTCACGATCATCTTCGTCCTCCTTCTCCTCATCGTCCTCCCTCTCCCCCTCCTCCTCCTCCTCCTCCTCCTCCTCCTCCTCCTCCTCCTCCTCCGCCTCCCCTCCTCCTCCTCCTTTCCCTTCCCGTGAAGGCCGTCCCCCCTGGGGGGCTGGCGCAGAGCAGTGGCGGTACGCGCCAGCGCCCACTTCCTGCACGTGCTCGGACCGCCTCTGGTCCGGAAGAAGAAGAAGGTAGGAGGCGCAGGCGGCATCCGCGCCGCCTCACCGCGCAGGCGCCCGCCAGGGATCCTCGCCGTGCCAGCCCCCCCGCGGCACATGGTGGTGGTAACTGCCCCGCGGCCCGCTGCCATTGCCCGAAGACTTGCCTTGGTGCGAGCGAACCATCCGCCCTATTTTCGGAGGTTGATAGATCTCCTACCCTGACACGTCGATTAGCGAATTGGCCGTTGTCGGTTCGCGAGAGGGCGTCGCGGCCGTCATTTTTGCGGGTCCAGGTCCGTCGGTTTCGGTCCTAGGCCGTTTTCACTAAAGGGTGGTTTACTAAAGGGAGGTTTGTCCACCGCCGATATTTCGCCGCACTCGCACCAAGACGTCCACAAACGACGGTCACGGCGACGGCAACGACCAGGGCTTCTCGCCCAGCCGGCGCCCCGCCAAGCTCTGCCGGCGGCTCGTCACGGTCGGCTGCTGGCCGTGCGAACGAAGAGGCTACTCTCTCTAGCTGCTCTTCGGGCGCTTTGTCCGCAGGCTGACATTTACACGGCACCGTGCCTGGTCGGGGCCATCCTGGGTCTTTGTATACTGTATAATCCCTCCTGGACTCGGCCAGGCATGGTGCTGGTGTATAGGTGACTTCTGCATATGGCGCGCCAGTTGGCTACTCCCACCCCCCGCTCTTTAGGAGGAAGTTTTGCCTCACTGCTACTTGTAAGGTTGGACGGCCCGCCGACCTGCGTACCGTAATCTGGCGCGCGGAACCTGGTGTGCCCCCCGATGCCTCGGCCCGCGCTGGTCTGCCCGTCCTCCTTCCGATCTCCTCTTCCTTGTATCCTCTCTCGCCTTGCGTCTCTCGTCTCCCGTCTCCCGTCTCTCGCTCTCGGTCTCCCTGTCTGCCTGCCTGCCCGCTTTTTCTGGTTTTGTTTCCCCCCCCTTACTCGTTTTTTGTTGTTTCTCTCGCTCTTGCCGGCAGGGTCCTCATCTCTGGTTCTCACGTGCCCCGAGCCTGCCCGCGGCGCCGCTGGCGACGGCCGCGCCCGCGCCGCCCGGCTCGGGCGCGGAAGCTTCTCCTGGGGTGCTGGAGGACCACCCGGCCGAAGGGCCACCGGGGCCCAGGGCCCTCCAAGCTGC